AAAGGAACGTTTCTACCCATGCTCCAAAACAAAAATGAAAGAAAAGCCCACCTGTACTCCCACCATCCTGACAGGAGATCCATGTCTCCTCCAGGAGTCCAAGTCCAAAGTCGACCTGAAAGGCTGGTGGCCAGTTCCCATGGCCTTGAAACACCCCTTAAATCACTGGCACCTGCGCCTTACAAGTTCACAAGCCAAGTACCCACCTAGTTTTGTTCATCTTTGCAGTAGGGCCCTCCCGTTTGGGGGCCTAAGATTCAGTCCTAACAGCGAAGGAGACCAAGCAGTCAACGCGAGTCTCCTGTCACTGAACTAGACTTGCACGCGCTGTGCCCCGCTGTGCCCTGCCTGGTCTGTGTTCGGCTCCATCGGGTTTAAGCAGATTCCCTTGGAGGTGGGGGTGGAGTGGAACGGGAGACGCTGTTCATTCTCTATGTCTCTATTCAACGGTTGCCTGCCCCAGCAGGTGTCCTGCCCCAGCAGGTGTCGCAGGTGTTGAGGCAGCGGGATGGCAGGAGGGAGGCCGACAGCCTGGGGGCATAGGCGGAGGTCAGGGCGCGCAGAGGCCATCCCAGTGGAGAGCAGAATGTATGTCAGGAGGCTGCAGGCAGGGAGGCCGGACCGACGGCCTAGGCTCACACTCACCAGCGCCTCGCGTGCCAGGCCAGGGAGTGCACTCTTCACTCTGGAGGCAAGAAGAAAAGCCGTGGGAGGTTTAGCACCCAGACAACCTGATAGCTGTGTCGGCCGGGAGGTGGGTTGGGAGGTTATCATAATGGCTGGAGGCAGAGAGGGCCGGATGAGGCTGGTGCTCATGAGGTTCCCACTTTTGTTCACAGATATTTATAGAGCACCTACTGTGTGCAGGTGCTGGAATGCAGCAGTGTGAGACTTAGGGACCCTCGGAGTGGGGAGTGGGACATGGCACACGTCTTAAGCAGAGGTGACCTGGAGAGCGAATGATGGGTGTGGCAGCAGGAACAGTAATTGGGAGGTTAGGAGGAGGAGCTAGCCAAGCCTGGAGTGGGTCAGCGGTGTGTGTATGTGTGTGTGTGTTTATATCTGCACGTGCATGCGTGTGTGTAGCGAGTGTGTGAATCTTTGCTTATGTACGTGTGGATGAGTGTGTGAGTATGTGCTTACATTGTGTGTGTGTGCTTACGTCTGCATGTGCATGACTATGTGTGCTTATGTCTTCGTGAGCATGCATGTGTGTACGAGTGTGAGTGTGTGCTTATGTCTGCATGTGCGTGTGTGTGACTGAATGTGTGCTTATGTCTTCGCGTGTGTACAAGTCTGTATGAATGTGTGTTTATATATGTGCGTGTGTACAAGTGTATGTGTATGAATGTGTGCTTGCATGTATGTGTTCGTGCACGCACGTATGAGTGTGTGCATGTATGCACATGAATGTTTACATGTGTGTAACATGTACGAATACGTGCCGTGTGTGCATGCATGTTTGTGTGTGCATGAATGTGCTTGTGTATGTGCACGCATGTCTGTGTGTACACACATGTGCCAGTGTATGGTTGTGTACATGTGTTCATGCATGTATGAGTGTGGGTGTGAATAGCTTGTGCATGTGTGTGCTCGCATGCATGTACAAGCATGTGTGCTATATATTTGCATGCATGTGTGTGTGCCCGCACTTGTGTGTATGTGTGTGCGTGTATACATTGGCAGAGGCAGGTGGGGAGTGAGGTGATGGTACCAGTGTGGTACGCTGTCCGTGTCATGGAAACACCCCCCTGAGATGCTTGGAAGCCAGCTCTGTGCGAGTGTTAGGGTCTGAGCCTAAGGAGGAACCCAGGGGAGTGGCGGGGTTCCAGGATCCGGGGAACGTGCTGGGGGGCAGCTGGGCTGGGGCCGGTGCTTCAGGAGGAGCCGGAAAGAGAGCTGCTCTGCTGGGTCAGCACGGGAGCGAGTTTTGCCCACCTTCTACATGCGCCTCGTGGTCTGACCACTGGTGTCTGCTTCGCTACCATCTTTCGTGGTAATTTTAATAACAGCCTTTCTTTTCAACGTGCCTCTGGGGGAATTTGCTCAAGGGAAGGAAGAAATCCGTGAAGGACTAAAGGGCTTATTGTTAAGAGCTGGTAACTGATAAGGAAACAGAAGAAAAATCCAACAGGTTGCTTCGTGGCCATTTGGATGGTGCCGCTCGTCCAGGCTTGGGTTACGGCCCATGGCGGGGAGCTGCCTCTCTGGGTGAGATTCCTGGTGACAGTGCCACACCAGTGTCATTGCCAGTCACGGCATTCCCTGGGGTACAGTTCATTGCGCCAGGCCGTGGTAGTGAGAAAATAGTTTAGAGAACAGGGAACTTGGTTCATCCCAGAGGTGAGGCTGTTCTTGAATGGTCATAGATGGGATATGGCCCTGGGTTCAAGTCCCACTTTTGAGCTGTGTGGGCATGTGACTGACCTCTTTAAAGCTCTGCTTCCTCAGATATGAAATGGGAATGGTGAACGGTAGTTCACAAATGTACACATATGTCTGTATGTGTGTGTGTGTGCGCGCGTGTGTGTGTGTGTATACATACACACACGTGCCAGGCACCAGTTTAAGAAGCACTGTTATATTTATTTTAACGTTTTAAAAAAAACATTTTATCTTTACATAATCTCTGTGCCTGTCGAGGGGCTCGAACTTACAACCTTGAGATCAAGAGCCACACCCTCCACTGACTGAGCCAGCCAGGCGCACCGGGTAGATTTTAACTCTTAATTCTCACAGCAGCTGTGTGACCTAGTAACTGTTACTCTCTCTGTAATAGCGGAGGCATCAGAGAGGTTAAGTAACCTGTAGTGGCCAAGCCAGGAGTCGAACAGTCTGGCTCCAGGTCCCCACCTCTCCCCCACTGCGCTTTACTCCCCTCCGTTTGTTGTTCCGGTTACCATGGAAACACAATGAAGGGTCTTTGCCTAGGACGGCAGTGGCCGCTCATGCAGTGTCGTGAGCTCTCCTGGTGTGGCTTCCAAGTCAGTCCTGACGGAGGGCTGCCATCTTAGCACACACCTGGCCAGTCCACATGAGGGGAGCCCGGCTGTCCTGTCTGCCGTCAGGCAGCTGTGGCCAGGTCCCCCAGGAGGACGGGAGCTGAAGCCTGGGACGTGGGATGATTTGGGAAGGTCGTGCCTGACGCGTGCCATGGAGTAAAGGCATTTGGGCGGTATTGATTGCGCAGGTGGAGTCACCACAGAGGCAGCTTGGGGTGCTGGCCCTCTGCCCAGGAGGTGGGACGCCCCCCAGCTATGTGACTCTAGCAGTCCATGCCGTTTGCACAGCACCCCCTTCCCGGCACGGCAGGCACCTGTCACCGGCCCGGGTCCCCTTGGTTTAACTGTATGTGCCACAGGGTCCACCCTCCCTTGCAGTTAACGGTTTGCGAAGGGGACATCTGATGGCATTAGGGTTTTGAGTTCTTTCCATTTCCTGGCCTCTGCATCATTCTTGGAGAAGTCATATGTGACGCGTTTTACTAGAGGTGTAAATCACAGAAGAACGGCTCCTTGACCCCAGCAGTTTATCATCTGGATGAGTTATAAATAAAAGCAACATTAAATAAAGCAAAACTGTTTGATTGGGGTAATGGAAATAAAGAGAGCTGTAGCAGACGGAAAGTTCCATTTAGGGAGAATTCACTTCTTCCTAGCGGGACATATGCCACAGGAGAGGAAGGTAACTTTCTCCAAAAGCCAGGCAGCGCACCTTGATTGAGTGCCTACTGCATACAAGGCTGTGTATTTGGCACTTGGGGATGGGACCTTCAGTAATGGTAATGACGGGGACACTGCTGTACGAGCGTACCTCCCCGGCTTACGGGAACCGGGAGAAAGAGTGCCACACTCTGGGGCCCCAGGAGGGGGACATGGGAGGTTACAATGGAGAACGAGTGGAAGTTGGCAGGGTGGTTGGGAGGAGAGGGCCACTGCCAGCGGGTGACCGTGGTGGTGTGACATGGTGTGGGAGTGTGACATGGTGCGGGGGTGTGACACGGTGTGGGGGCAGAGAACCTCAGATCGGGGAGAATGACCTGGGGCGGGAGGGCGGAAGGCCCCAGAGAGGTTCTAACACCAGTTCCTTGGCAAGCGTAGGGGCATGCCTTGGGGCCAGCGGAGGCAGAAACTTGGAGTTGTGAAAACGGTTGAAACAGGCGCACAGAACCTCCGAGGAAGGAGGGGTTTCACACGAGGGGAGAATAAGGCTGTGATGCGGTTAGGGGACACCAGGAGAGCGCCGGCTTCCCTCCTGCCCCCGACACAATGTGCACCTGCAGGGAAGTGGAGTGGTCCCAGGAGGGCAGGCTTTCCCAGGGCCAGGGTCCCATGAGCTGGCCGCGTGTGGGAATTGTGCGGGAGAGTTCTGGGCGGCAGTGACGAGTGTTGTGTGGGGGCCCGAGGATGGGTTTTTACTGATGACTGAACACATTGAGCAGAAAAAGTCAGAGGACCGGGAAAGTGCAAAGGAGGGTCTGCCGGGCAGCTGATGACCTGAGGGCCTTGCCTTTGGGGCCTGGCCAAGGATGGCAGGAACTAGGCCAGGGTGGGGATCGGCCTCGAGGGCTGGAATGTTCTCTGGGACCGGGTTTTCCCGCGCTGCTCCAGCCGGTGCTTTGGAACTCCTCCGGCACGGCTTGGCAGGCTGGCTTTCCCAGGCACAGCCTTGGTAGAGTGTCAGCACTGAGCCTCTCCGATCCTTCTCTGAAGACTGACCTCCTGAGGAAACTGAGTCAGCTCCCAAGCCTACAGAAAGGTCAAGACTGATTGCCAGACGTTTGGCTTCTGGCCTTGGGAGGTTTCCCCAGGTGGTAGCGTCGTACAAGTTTTGCAAGAACAGACTCTTTCTGGACCCTTCCTCTCCAGTGCAAAGACTCTGATTCCCTTCCCTGTGGTCGGGAGGGTGGGCATTCGATGGTCAGAACTGGAGTAGCCCTTGTGTCGTTCTTTTTGCTAATTCATTTATCCTTGCCCCCCACCCCCTTCTCTGTCATTCAGAACTGGACTATCAGGTGTACCTGAATGCTTCTAAGGTCCCCGAGTTTTCGGACGACCTCACGGAGCTGGAGTGCCGCATCGTGGACGTGAAGGGTTCTGAGGCCAGCGTCCGCTTCACGGTGTCCTGGTACTACAGGCTCAGCCGGCGCAGTGATGACCTGGTGGCCAGCGAGCTGCTTGCGGTCATGAATGGGGACTGGACCCTGAGGTACGGAGACAGGAGCCGGCAGCGTGCTCAGGACGGAGACTTTATATTTTCTAAGGAGCGTGCGGACACATTCAGTTTCCGAATCCAAAGGACCACGGAGGAGGACAGAGGCAATTACTACTGTGTGGTGTCCGCATGGACCAAGCAGCGAAACGACAGCTGGGTGAAGAGCAAGGATGTCTTCTCCAAACCCGTCAACATATTCTGGGCATCAGAAGGTAGGCGCTTTGTTCCTGTTCACTGACGGTCTGTTTTGGCCCCAGATCATCCCCACTGGGCGCTTTTACGTGCCCCGTCTACCTGTAGGCTCACTTTCCGCGCGAAAGCCCCGAAAATGCAAACTCAGACGGCTCTGGCATTAATCAGCAGCATGAACCCCTTCAAGATGCTGATGCTTGAGGGGGCTCAGTCCCAGCGGGAGAGCTGGGGCTTGGTGGGTGGTAGACACCGGTCTCATAGGTGCCCGCAGTGTGCAGAGGCTCAGCCCTTGACACATGCTTTGTGGGGTGGTCTTGGGTCTTTGGGGTGTGTTTGTGCCTGCAAGTTCCTGCTGGGTGCAGACTTGTTTGCGGAGCCACAGATGAAGGGGCGGCCACAGGCCATCGCACTGGCCCCTGGAGCGTCAGGCATCCGTTCGGAGAGATCGTTTCTGGGGAGAGGGGACAAGAGCTTGAGGGAAGCGATTTTTTCTGCTGCGCCTCCTCCTAGATGCTCAGAGCACTGGCTGCCTTGGGACCTAGTGCACTCAAAGTTTAAAAGAACATTGTTTTAGTGTTTATTTATTATTGAGAGACAGAGAAAGACTGTGTGAGCAGGGGAGGGGCAGAGGGAGGAGAGACACAGAATCGGAAGCAGGCTCCAGGCTCTGAGCTGTCAGCACAGAGCCTGACATGGGGCTCGAACCTACGGACTGCGAGATCATGACCTGAGCCGAAGTCAGACGCTCAACCGGCTGAGCCACCCAGGCGCCCCTGGGCTTTGGAAGTTTTAATCGCTGCCAGGCCAGTTCTCCTGTGCAGCCAGGGTGGAGTAGCCTGGTGAAGATCATTAACCTTTCCGTCTCGGTCCCCTGCCCTCTTCTCGAGTCGCCGTGTTCCCTGGCTTGGTCATTTCCTCCCACACTCACACCCTACACTAGACTGTCTCTGTTGTGATAACCGAAAGCCCTCCTGCCCTCCCTTCCAGGCACCCTGCTCCCTAAACACACCTTCCGCTTTTTCCCATTGCTCCCTCCAGTCCTCCAGTATCAACCTTTTAACCTTCCCAGACTGGCAGTCCATGACCTCGTCCTGGCCTTCACCATGTGTCCGGGGCAGTCCAGTCTACAGACTGTTGCCCTGTGTCATTTTTAATAGCCCCCGCTTTCATTCATAGATACGTCCTGGGGTGGAAGGGAGGACGAGATGTGTGGTCACCTTGCCTAAATTGCTGGCCAGCTGTAATCGCTCCCTTGCACCCTGAGCTCCCTAGTTCCCCTCTTCTTTTGCACTATGCTCTGGCCTAACCACAAGCCAGTTCAAAGCCGGCCGTCTGCTACCTCCCCACCTGCATTCTTCATTGGATAGAAACATTTAAACATGTTGACTGGCTTCTCTTTAAATCTGGTATCATTTATGTCAACGGGGCTCTCAGCACTGCCTGGCAATCCTTCTGCATTTCCATAATCTGTTTACTTCCCTCCTCTCCACAGTGATTATTGCATCCCACCTTCTCTGAAACCCTCCTCTGCTAGCCTTACCCTCAGCTGTTTGCCCTGCTTTCTCTTTCCCTGAAGAAGCAGAAGCAATCAGGAGAACTTCTACGCGCTCACACCCAGCCTGTGCCCTAACAGAGGCCAGCCCCTCTCGCTGGTCAGGCACATGGCTCCTCACTCTGTAAGGCCGTCAATATTACTGTGATTTCTGGACCTTCCCTGTTGACCCATAAACATACTGTTAGACCTCTTGTTTTTACTTGTGTATTATAAAGTAATTTTTTTTAATATTTATTTTTGAGAGTTGGGAGGGGAGGGGCAGAGAGAGAGGGAGACACAGAATCTGAAGCAGACTCCAGGCTCTGAGCTGTCAGCACAGAGCTCGAAGTGAGGCTTGAACTCACAAACCATGAGATCATGACCTGAGCCGAAGTCGGACGCTCCACTGACTGAGCCACTCAGGGGCCCCTTTAAAGGAATTTTTTTTTTTTAAGTTTATTTATTTATTTTGAGAGATAGCATGCATGCATGTTCATACCTGGGAGAGTGTCAGAGAGAGAGAGAGAAAATCTCAAGCAGGCTCCATGCAGAGCATGAAACCACGAACTGTGAGATCATGACCTGAGCCAAAATCAAGAGTTCAGTGCCGGTGCCCCTCTGAAGTAACTTTCATCTCACTTGTCCCTCCATCTTTCCATCCCCCAAGCCCCTGGGCCCCCACTCACTGCTCTTTCTTTCATTTTATAGCCAAGGCATATCATTTGTCTGTTCTTGGTGTCTCCAGTTTTCCCTCTCCCTGTTCTTTCTAGCACCTTCTCTGGTCAAGCTTTTGGCCGCCGTTCCTCATGTTAAGACTGACATACTGCAAAGTCCAGTCATTGGTTACCTTACTTGGCTTAGGATCTAGTGCAGGCGATCGCTCCTTCCTCCCAGAAATACTTTGGTTTTTGCTCGGCCGTGGGACACTGTCCTCGCTGGGCTTCCCTCCTCCCTCACAGCTCTTGCTTCTCAGCCTCCTTTGCTAGCTCTTCTTCGTTCTCTCAGACTTGAGCCCCATCTAACCATACTATATATACTTGTTTATTTTGCTCGTCTTCCTCCACTAGCGTGTAAGGGGAGGGCTTTCCGTATTTTTTGTTTACAATGGCATCCCCTGGAACGCAGGAGGCCCTGCGTACTTGTGTAATTAATCAGTGGATGACCAGACTCATGGGAGAATCGATGGAATCCCGAGAACCAGTGATACTGAAGAGGCCCTACGTGACACACGCGTCCTGCTTCCTAGGTTCGGTGGAACCCTGCTCCCACCAAAACCCTACATAAGAATTTCATTTGTTTAGCTAGACTAGACTATAGAATTAATAATCTTATTAGGGGATAAAAAGAATGTGTTTAATTCGCTTATTCATCCGTTTGACAAATATTTAAGTACCTTTCAAGTGCCCGAGTTGTTGAGCGGTTATGATAATGATGACTCCTAATATATATATGCTTAGGGATGTCGTTTTCCGCAGAGAAGCAGGGGGGTAAGAACATGCATAAACCGAAAGTGAGTGTAGCCACGGACACTTGCTCAAAATGTGAAAGCAGTATCTCTGTGGACAGGACTAGATCTACAGGTGGGTGTCCCAGTCACTTGCATCCTAGTCTGTTCTGACCGTGACCATCCTGTGATCAAACAGAAAGAACCCATTCCTTCCTTTCTCTGCTTCTCCAAGCAGACTTTCTGCCACCCCGCAGAACCCTAGGGGAAGGGAGGCACCTGGGGTGGCCGAGAGCCCGATATGGGTGTTGGGCTCAACCACATCTCCCCCTGGTCACAAAGCGTGAGCTCTGCCTCCTGTCCTGGAAGGCATCAGAAGTCTCCCAGTTTCCCTCACTCCCATGAAGTCATTTCAGACTGTTTGGCTTCCAGTGGGGTGGCTTATAGCCTGCTTACAGACACACGTGATTTCCTTTTCGAGTTTCCAGATTTTCTTAAGGGCCGCGTGCGGCAGTTTGTGCGTCAGTTCCAGTTCTGCTGCCGTCGTGCTACTCTCAGACACCCACCTGTTTTAGCCAGAACTCACCTCTTTCTGGTACTTCATTCCAGATTCCGTGCTTGTGGTGAAGGCCAGGCAGCCAAAGCCTTTCTTTGCTGCGGGAAACACATTTGAGATGACTTGCAAAGTATCTTCCAAGAATATTAAGTCGCCGCGCTACTCGGTTCTCATCACTGCCGAGAAGCCCGTGGGGGACCTCTCGAGCCCCAACGAAACCAAGTACATCATCTCCCTGGACCAAGATTCTGTGGTGAAGCTGGAGAATTGGACAGATGCCTCGCGGGTGGACGGCGTGGTGTTGGAGAAAGTGCAGGAAGACGAATTTCGCTATCGAATGTACCAGACGCAGGTCTCGGACGCGGGGCTGTACCGTTGCGTGGTGACAGCCTGGTCTCCTGTCAGGGGCAGCCTGTGGCGAGAAGCGGCAACCAGTCTCTCCAATCCTATCGAGATTGACTTCCAGACTGCAGGTGAGCGGGGGCCCCTGTTGAACCACAGACTGAGCTAGAGAGAGGCCTAGGATCTTGGTCTGGTGGCTGAATCGTTGTTTTAAAACACCTTTCTTTATTGAGGTGTAATTCACGTGCCAATTAGGTCACCCATTCAAAGGGCCTTGCTCAGTGGCTTTCAGGACATTCACAGAGTTGTGCAGCTGTCACCACAGTCGATTATAGAGCAAAATGTACCTCAAAGGAAGCCTGTACCCCTTAGCTGACACCCTTCAGTCCCCAGCCTCTCAGCAACCACGGTCTTCTTTCCATCTCTATAAACTTAACCTGTTCTGGACACTTTCCATTAATGGAATATAATATATGGTCTTCACACCTGCTTTCTTTCACCTTGATATAGGATTTTTCTCTTTTTTGTGTGCCTGCATTCTTACTTGTTAATTTTCCAGGATATCCATGACATGGTACTTCATTCATGTTCGTGGCTGAATAATATTCCAGTTTATGGAGATGCTACGTTTTGTTTTTCTGTTTATCAGCTCAAGGCCATTTGGGTGTTTCCGGTTGCTGGGCTATTATGAATATTCCTTGTGAACATTCGTGTGTAAATTTTTGTGTGTAAAGACGATCTTTTTTATTTATTTTTTAAATAGATGAACCCAAACTCAGCTATTTTAGATCCTTTAGAGAACACGGTGGAATTCAAAGAGAGGAGGGAGCTGAACCCCTAGAGGGGTTATGAATGACTTTCTGGAAGTGCAAGTTTCAGGGCCAAGACCCCATTGGCATCCAGCCCCATGGCCTTCACTCTTCAATGGGTCTTTAGGGGTCCCCAGGACTGAGGGTAATGGGGTGTCATTTTGGTTCAACTTAACAGAGCAGTATTTCCACGTAGGGGAGGAGCATCTGACCTCATGCCTCCCCTTGCTTTGGGGCTAGAAAAAGATTTCCCATCAATTAATCGCGGTACCAGAGCTGGGGTGGTAGGGATGAATGTACCTGTCCACCAGTTCGTTAAGAATAGTTATTGGTGGTATTCATGTATGGGTAGATCAGTTAAAACACTGGCATTTTTGTGTCTATTTCTGAATGGATTTTATCTTTGGTTAAAGTAAGATGTTTTTATGCTCCCAGGTGGGAAGGTCTACTTTTTTTTTTTTTTTAATGGCATGGAGATGTAGTCTCAGGAAATCATTTCTTTTCCATCTGTGCAATTCATGAAGCTCTTCTGAAATCTCTGTGTATGTGTGTGTGTTTCAGTAGGTAGGTTATTTAAAAGTTTTTGATCCCCAGTTTTTAGGGTATCAAAGTGAATGATCATCATTCGTGAGTTTAATGTTTTTTTTAATGTTTTAAATTAATTTATTTCTGAGAGATAGAGCGAGCGAGCAGGGGAAGGTCAGAGAGGGAGGGAGACACAGAATCTGAAACAGGCTCCAGGCTCTGAGCTGTCAGCACAGAGCCCGACGCGGGGCTTGGACCCACGAACCGTGAGATCATGACCTGAGCTGAAGTTGGACGCTTAACCGACTGAGCCACCCAGGCGCCCTTGCTTGTTTGTTTTTTTATTAATAGCTTTACTGAATTATAGTTAACACAGTGGAAAATGCACTCATGTAAAGTGTACACTTGAGTAGTTTTGAGTATATTCACAGAGTTGTGGGCCATTGCCACAGTCTTTTCTAGAATTTTTAATCACTCCAGAAAGAAACTCTGTACTCATTAGTCTGTGCTCCCCACTCCCAGCTCCTGGCAACCACTAATCTTTCTGTCTGTATAGAGTTGCCTCTTCTGGACATTTCACATAAATTGAATCACGTATGTGGACGTTGGCAACTGGCTTCTTTCACCTTATGTGCTTTCAAGGTCCGTCCGTGTTACACCGTGCACCAGTACTTCATTCCTTTTTATGGCTGAACAGTATTCCATTGTGTGGATGTACCACATTTATTCATCCATCCGTTGACGGACATTGGGTTGTTTCCACTCTTCGGCCACTGTGACTAATGCTGGCATAAACATTAGTGTACACGTTTTTGGATGGACATAAGGGTTCATTTCTCACCTGGGAGTGGTGCTAGGTCATATGGTAGCTCTCTTTAACTCTGAGGAACTGCCACATTGTTTTCCAAAGCAGCTGCTCAGTTTTACATGCCCACCAGTGATGTGTGATGGTCAGTGTTCCGCACCCTCACCTGCTCTGGTATTCTCCATCTGTTTTATCAGAGCCAACCTGGTGGGTGTCAGGCAATATCTTATTGTGCTTTAATCTGCATTTTCCTAATGACTGCTGATGTTAGGCATCCTTTCGTGTGGTTACTGGTCATATGTGTAGTCTCTGGAGAAATGTCTGTTCAGATTCGTTTACTGATTTTTAAATGGAGTTATCTTTTTATTGTTGATTAGTCGAGTTTTTCATAGGGTCTTGGATACAAGCCCTTTGGTTTAAAAAATACCTTCTCCCTGGGACACCTGGGTGGCTCGGTTGGTTGGGCCTCCGACTTCACCTCAGGTCATGATCTCTTGGTTTGTGGGTTCAAGCCCCGTGTCAGGCTCTGTGCTGAAAGCTCAGAGCCTGGAGCCTGCTTCCGATGCTATGTCTCCATTTCTGTCCGCCCCTCCCCTGTTCACTCTCTGTCTCTCAAAATTAAATAAACATAAAAAATTTTTTTTTAATTAAAAAAAAATAGCTTCTCCCATTCTGTGGGTAGTCTTTTCACTTTGTTTGTGAAAGCTTTTAAATTTGATGAAGTCCAATTTATGTTTTCTCTTTTTTGCTTATGTTTGTGGTGTTTTCTCTAAGTAACCATTCTCTGATCCAGGGTTGTAAAGATTTGTGGCTCTCCCTTCTTCTAATAGTTTTACAGTTTCAGCTTTTAGCATTTAGCGCTATGATCCATTTCAGTTAATTTTTGTGTGTAAACCTTCTGATTCTTCTTCTTGCCTAATTGCCCTGGCTAGCGTCTCTAATACAATGTGGAATGGTAGTACAAGGATATCCTTGTCTTGTTCCTGATCTTACGGGGAAGTTTGCAGTCTTTTACCATTAGGAATCATTGTAACTATGGATTTTTCTTAGATGCCCTTTATAGAGTTGGGGAAGTTTCCCTTCATTACCAGTTTGTTGAGTTTTTTGTTTTTTTCTGTTTTTTGTTTTGTTTTGTTTTGTTTTGTTTTGTTTTTTACCATGAGAGATGTTGAATGTTGTCAAATACTTCTTCTATATCTGTTGATATTCAGAGGATTACGTGGCGTTGGTCTTTCATTCTTGTATCTGTTTTACTCCCTATAGGAGTTTATGCCGTCTTCTTTTACATTTGTTATTTGCTGTTTCTCTAGAGCTGTTAGGGGAAAGAAGGGAGACATCAGATCTTTTGGATTCCTGGGTGAGGAATGGGTATTGAATCTGTTTCTCAATTCTTTAAATCTCTGCACAACAGATAAAATGTAACTTCCAGGTTGAAGACTGGCTTCGGTCTTAGACTGGTTAAGACTTTTGTTTTATTTCATCCACGGAGTTATCGTGGCCAGTTCACGGTTGAATGAGGAGAAGTTGCGATCAGAGGCACCCAGCCCACTGCCCTCACCCCGACGGGCTCTCAGCAAACACAGACTTGATGTTGAACTTGATGTTGAAGAGTGTTTGCTTCGTGAAAATCAGTGGCACACGATAAGATACAGATGACAGTGGTCCTTCCTGGTGCCCACCTTTCTATCCCCTGGTTTGGGGCCACTTGTCTCTTGGTATGAGGACAGTGTTTCCCAAGGGGCCCTGCTGAGTCATGAATTTCACTAAACCAAAGTGTCGGGTGGTGGTCAGGGGAACATATGGATTAAATGTTATGGTGTTCAAAGTTTTGGCCTTTCACAAAGGATAATAAGAAAGCTCTTCTCCTTAATAGAGAAAAATTTAAATATACAATAAAGTAGAAAGAAGGAGAAGAATTACCCATAATCTACCAGACACTGTTAATTGGTGGTGTCTGTCTGCCTAGAAATCTTCTCTTAACGTGTTTTCTTCATAACTGAGATCAGGCTGTAGGTGCAGTTTCGTGATCTGCTTCCTCCTCTTAACTGTGTAAGAGACACATTTTTCACGTTAAAACAAATTCTAGGTAAATAACAATTTTGATGACTGTACCTCCTAGAAAATGTAGTTAGCGACTGCCCGACTGACGGACATGCAGATGGCCTCCAGTTTGGACTCTCACAAAAACTGTGGTTTACAGGCTCCTTAGGGGCTGGAGTTGGACCATGGTCCTTTCAGTGTTTGGATTTAGAAGCTGAGTGTGGTCCCTGTAATGTCTGCAGACTAGGGACCGGGGGACATCTAGTGACTCCAGCGGCTCACTTGAACTCTCTGTGCCTCAGTCTGTCATCTGTGAAGTTAACCAAATTCCCTCAGAAAAACAGCATTACCCCAGAAGTTGACCATAATAAAAATATTTCCAAGGCTGGGATAATGACCCATATTCACTGCGAGTTGTTGATTTCGTTAGAAGGCAATGCACTGCCGTGAAGGGTTCACAGTAAAGACCCCTTCCCAGACCCATGTCTGCATGGTGAGCCCTAGCACAAATGCCCCGTTGTTCCCGCAGCCACAGCCACTGGGGGAAGTGACAGCCATTAACTTGTGACCTATGAGGCAGTTTTGGGTTTTCTTTGGAACTGTAAAGAAGAGAGTGATATTTGTCCAAATCGGTAAGCCTTCCTTTGTGGTTTCCAATTCGGAACCCTGACTCCATGATGAGGAGCTTCCTGTTGGATTACCACGTTGCGGTAAAGGGCTGGGCACTTTACGAAAGTCCCGTGGTGGGGCCCTGTTTATTACCTGAAGTTTCTAGTCAGAGAAGATATGTGCTCCTCATTGCTCACCTTGGCTGCTACTAACATGTACTCCCTGGCGGTCATGTGTGGCGTAGAATACCCCCCGGGCATTAATTCCAAGGCTCTAGCTCAATCCTGTCCTACCTCACTGCAGGAGGTAGAGCAAATCCACGGTGGACAGGACCGTGAGAACTGTGGCCGGGAGGCCTGTTAATTGAAGGGCAAGCTGTCCACAGATAGGTCAGACTTCCCTGCTCTATTTTCATCCCTTTCCCCATGTGCGGGACCGCCATTTCACTATGTTCTCACCCTGCCCCCAGAGTGGATGCCCTCCTGCTGCCCTGCAGTTTGTCTGAACTCTCCCCACAACCTGCTCGGGGCAGCCCCACCCCCCTGGGCTGCCCTCTCCCGCACCTGCCCTTCGCCTTGCTCCCGGCAGGACAGACTGCTCCATGCTAGGTGTGAGGAGAGCAGTCCCAGCAGTTCATCTTTCCACTCGCGGTGAAATGGAAATACAGCCTTTTTGACTCTGCCTCATTGGTTTGCACAACTTTTATGCTCTTTCTCAGTCATTTCTTTTAGCTGTTAAAACAAAAAGAACTTCTTCCTCTTTGGTTCCGATCGAAAAGATCTGACAAGCTCGAAAAGCTAATGACAATATTAGCTTCAGATGAGTTTCAGAAGCACTGTCCAAGGCTATCCCTTTCTGCTTCCCAAGAAACCCAAGGGAAGTCCCATAGCACTGGTATTCTAGAACCTTCTTCTGGTTTGCCTGTTCTGAGATTTTAGAAATTAGGATAAGGTAAATACTGAGTTCTTTGGATCGGGTTGTCTGAAAGCTATGTAATATGGTCACATAAAACGGAAGAGTAGAAAGGGGCACTGGGGTGGCTCAGTCAGTTGAGGGTCCAACTTCGGCTCAAGTCATGATCTCACAGTTTGTGGGTTCAAGCCCCACCTTGGGCTCTGTGCTGACAGCTCAGAGCCTGCTGCTTCATATTCTGTGTCTCCCTCTCTCTGTGCCCCTCCCCCGCTCATGCCCTGTTTCTGTCTCAAAAATAGACAAAACGTAAAAAAAATTTTTTTTTTTAATTAAAAAACAGAGGACTAAAAAGGAGTAAAGGGGATAGGAGCCAGATAGCGGCCATGCAAGTCATACTTTTGTAAAAGCTTATTTTATTTTTTAATTTTTATTTTGAGGGAGAGGGAGAGGAAGAGGATGAGCGGAGAACGGGGAGAGAGAGAGGGAAACAGAGGATCCGAAGCAGGCTCTGTGTTGACAGCAACGAGCCCAATGTGGGGCTCAAACTCACGAACTGGGAGACCATGACCTGAGCCGAAACCAAGAGTCGGCCACCCAGCCAAATGAGCCACTCAGGCGTCCTGGCATACTTCTTAAATAATTTAATAAGTCACTTATTTATGTCTAGTAATCAAGTAGCATAATAGCATTTATACCTACAGTCAGATGCACTAACTGACTCTGTGGCAAATATTATGAAATTCTAGCACTAAATTCTCTTTATGTGTTCACTCTTTATACTTCCTGTTTTGTTGCTTATTTTTATGCTCACGACTCAAAAGCTGGGAACGTCTGTGCCTTGTACAGTTAGCACAGCTTGGGTAGTGACATCTTCCAGACTCGGGAAGAAGGAAACAGGTCTTTTTTAAAGCAAACTGAAAATCAGACTGAGTGTTCTCAGGAAGGTGTGCAAGACCGATCCTGTGTGGGTAGTGATTTGAAGCAATATCCACACTGCCTCGATTTCCCCTGACAGATTGGAGCCTGTGGTGCCCGCAGGGCCCCTACAGAGTGTCGTCACTGTTGGCACGTCGGTCTGCTGACTGGACCTCAGCCTCCTAACGGCAGAGCCCCCTGTCCCCAGCCCAGCGAGGCCGTTCTGCCCCGTACAGAAACAGAAGCAACCCAGGCTGTATCAGGCTGGCAGGTGGGGTGGCCTTCGAATGGGACCATGGTTGGCATCAGAGAAGAGGGACGGGAAGAGCCAGAAGCAAAAGTAGTTCTTAGGAAGAGTTCTCTGGCGGTGGTAACTAGGGGGCTGCCCGTTGTACCGTGCCTGGTGTGCGCGTCCGAAGAGAAGGAAAGCAGCCTCCGCCTGCCCCCGAGCCCAGTTCCAGGAAGGCGGGCCACGTGTAGGTGTGGCCACGAGAGCGCCACACATGGAATTTAAGCCCACATGTGAACGGGAATAATTAGTGCCGTCACTGTTTTCCAGGCCCTGTATTCAATGCCTCCGTGCACTCAGACACACCGTCGGTCATCCGGGGAGAGCTCATCAAACTGTTTTGCATCATCGCAGTCGAAGGAGGAGCCCTGGATCCAGGTACGTCTCTCTGTCTTCCCTCCTGTCTCGTGTTGCCTCCTCGGAACACGCCTTTGCCACCCCTGCTGTTACGTAGATCTGGAGGTCCCGGATTATACTGTCCATTAATCCCCAGGCTGCCTGGCTCAGGACCTGGCACCCAGTGGGTGTTCAGTCCATACTTGTTGACGGAGGCCTCTGTCCATCAGATGATTCAGAAACACGACCAGACACTGGGATCCAGCAATCAGTGGGCCACTTCTGGGGCCGAGTACAGCTGGTTTGAAACCTACCAGCTGGGTCCAGCCCCTTCACCTTGGCTTTCATTCACTTATTCATTCAGGGCTGTGTTGAGCTTCTTCCACTCCAGCTACTGGGAATAGAGAAGGCCTTAGAATACGCCATGTCTGTTCTCACAGAGCTTTGCAACCTGGTTGAAAGGAGGTGGGTCAGCATGTATTAGAACATCAAGTAGCGTTAAGTCTATGATGAAACAGAGCAGAGTAAATGGGCAGCGAGTGACCAGGTGGTGCTGTCGCTCTTTGAATTCTCAGGAAATCTAGGCAAACTTTGTCTTTGCAAAAAAAAAAAAAAAAAAAAATGTTAGCACTGCCCACAGGATGCCCGGGAGTGGTGGGCCATGCATCTTCCCCCTTTTCTGCCTGCCCCCTTCATGAACCAGGCGGTGTCTTCTTCATGTCCGCCTAGACCCACAGGGTTTGAAATGACCAGTTCCGCGCAGAGACCGCTGGCAGTGGGGCCCCAGGGTAGGCACTGGAGGCAGGTTTCATTCTGCACGCCGGGCGGGTTGCCAGCAATGTGAGGAAGGCCTGCAGCGAGCCAGAGGGAGTGGCACGGTGTCTCGGGCCGTCGAGGGGCAGAGGGCAGGCTGGCTGCCCCCTTAGGTCAGGCTCACCAGGACGCCCGCTGAGCACTGCAGGTGTCACAGTCCTGTCCTGTGACGGGTTCTGGCGAGAAGTACTTCTGGCCTTGGGGCGCAGGTGGCCTCTGCAGACCCGGCCACCTCTGTGGAGGTGTGGAAGCAGCCGCAGATGGTAGGTGAGCAAATGGGCTTGACTGTGTCCCAGCAAAGCTCCGCTGACAACAGGCGGTGGGGCTGCACTTGGCCTGCGGGCCGCAGGGTACGCACCCCGGGACTAGCTGCTAGATGCCAGAGTGGCTCTCCCGGGGAGCCTCAGCACAGCTGAGCTTTCGAGGGAGGACAAAGATGAATTCGAGGAAGATCAAAGAAAACCGAGAAGTGCCTCCAAACCACCCGTCGGTTAGCTCTGTTCTCCAGGTGCGGGGGGTGGGGGGGGTGGGGTGCCTGGGCCTTGGAAGAGCCGAGGTGCAGAAGACTGGGGGACAGAGCGGGGTTCAGAAGGAAAAAACGGCAGTGAAACTCCAAGGGGCCGGCAGGTGAAGGGGAGGTATATCCTTTTCAGAAATCGGTGCCCTGTTTACCCTTGAAGGTCGTTTATGATACATACAAAAATAAATCACTTCAGTGTTCATCCTCAGCAAATTAATGGGCCCCAGCGTATTAATCGTGCCCTTAATATAAGAGCCTTTTTCTCCAGTGTAATTACAGAAGCTCTAGGTGGCTGTTATCATGCAGATCTCAGTTTTCGAGAACTTTGCACCATTGGACAGCGTGGATGGAGGATTCTGAATAATTAAGCACGCTCCGTAATTTAGTCTTTCCTCAGGCGTCCGACGGGCTGTGAAGGAATTCTCTTTTGGAAGGGACATGTCGCCTGCGTGGGCCAAGCGCCAAGGCGGTCTTGTCCCGAGAAGGGGAGGGACGGGCTGGTCACAGCCCTTCAGAGGTCGAGCTCTCCAGAAGCAAAGCCGGGAGATAAGTGTGCAAGTGACTCACTGAAGATGTGCTCCCAGGGCGTGCGTGGGTCGAGCAGAGCCAGGGAAGGGAGCTGGGCAAGGATGTGAATTCAGAACAAGCCTAACTCCCCGCGGGGAGCCGTGGAGCATCCGTTGTACCACAGAGCATGGCCTCCTTGGGGTGAGGGACGGGCTTTTAGAGCCCCGCCGTCAGTCACTGCACAGGGGCTGAGCGGTCGGGGAGCAGGGGTGTTTCCTAATCTCCAGGGGGTGGTTTCCGTCAGCCGAAGTTGGTCCTCCGGAAGGGGGCACAGGTGTGGATGTTAGCAGCCAGCCCGGTCAGCCCCTGGTTGGTGGGGGGGAGGGGGGGGTGGCCACCGAGAGCCTGAGGTGATAAGGCCCTCCCCGTAAGCACCTGTTTGTAGAGCGTGTCTGTTGCACTGTGGGGGTAAGGATGCACATGGCGGCCGGCTAGTGAGCGCTTCTGTATGCGAGGTGCTGCTCTAAGCGTTTTGTGGAGATGGTCAACTCAACCTCGGGTGGAGTGGTCCTCGTCATTCTACAGCTGGGGAGCCACGTCACGGAGAATTAAGTCATGCTCCGGGGCCCGTGGGTGGCCGGTACTGGTGCTGGGAGGGCAGCCCCGGAGCCTGGCCCTCCAGGCCGACCACAGCTCTGTGATGCAAGGCGGGACTGGGCCACAAACAGTGAGCCCAAATAACCGGGATAACAGTGTGCCTTTGCCTTCAGTAACCGCCCAGCGCCCGCAGGTGAGGCTGCACCGAGCACGTGACCATGATCCCCGGGCCTGCTCTGCCCCGGCGCCGGGAGGGTATGAGGGTGCTGACGGCCCTTCCTCTGCCTCCACTGGGAACCATCAGATTTTCAGCTCCAGTGCCACGGTGGGTGAGGGGGAGGGAAAGCAGGTATCCAGAGCATTGGCGTGGAGAGCGATCTTCCCGTTTGCCCTGGCCCTTAGCGTCTTCAGAGGGTTAGAAAGGGCACACCAGTTGGATAATCCTGTAGAAAGTCTTGCCTTACGTTTTGCTTTTGTTCTTTGTTAACACACAAGCGCCCAGATACAATTCGCCTTAAAGTAGTGCTATTGGAGGTTATCAGTTTATTTTCACTAATGAATAAATGTTCCTTTTTGCTTAACGGAAATGGGGTGCTCTCACGCATGTACAGAAAGCCTTGTCAAGTGAATTTAGGAGAAAACAGTGTGGGGGCGCCTGGGTGACTCAGGCGGTTGAACTTACGACTTCGGCTCAGGTCACTATCTCACGGTTCGTGTGTTTGAGCCCCGTGTGGGGCTCTGGGGTGATAGCTCAGAGCCTGGAGCTGCTTCAGATTCTGTGTCTCCCTCTCTGCTCCTTCCCTGCTTGCTCTCTGTCTCTCTCTCTCTTTGAAAAATGAATAAACATTTTAAAAAGAGACAGAGAGAGAAAACCGTGTTTGTGGCCTCACCGTCGTTTCTTGCCTGCTGGGCGTGTCCCAGGCTGCTGCCCGCTCAGAGCGGCCAGAGGAGGAGGGCAGGGGGCGCATGGCATGTGCGCGTGCTGTCTTCACGTCCTGTGAGCATTGCCACTCGTACCAGTCTTCTTTCTCACGGGCCCATCTTCATTTATTTGAGGCTGTTAGAGCCTTCGTTTTGCAGAGTACTTTAAGATTCGGTAGAATTCCTCTCTGGGACCGTTAAAACTGTGTTCGATTTTCTCAGCTTGACGTTCTTTTCCTCTTGTTTTGAACTTGAGCGCTTCTGCAGGGGAAGAAAAGCACCGCGAGCAGTGAGATCTAAACTGTTGATGACTCTGAATCTCGTCCAGTTCACTTTACGCGCCTTTTGTCCTTGGCCGCATTATCGGCCTCCCAGTCTGGGCTCTTGCATGAAATGTCAAGGGACGTTGCTATGGGGGACGCTTTTGGGTGCTCCTTGGGCTGGGTGATGGCAGCAGGATCAAGAGGCTGGATTCTGGGGGCGCCCAGGTGGCTCAGTCGGTCAAGGCATCCAACTCTTGATCTTGGATCGCGGGTTCGAGTCCAGCATCAGACTCTGTGCTGACTACACGGAGCCTGGTTGCTTTCTCTCTCCCCCTCTCTCTGCACCTCTGCCTTGCTCACTCTCCCTCTGTCTTTCTCTCTCAAAATAAATAAATAAACTTAAAAAAAAAAAAAAAGAGTGCGGACTCTGGAGTCATACTCCCTGGGTGAGGCCACACATTCTCCCGCCCATGGCTCTGTGACCTTAAATGAGGTATTTGGCCCTGCCGCCAAGTGGGGAGTGTGACAGAACTGTCATCGCGGGGTCACGAGGACTCAGTGAGAGCTAAGGCTACAGAATAGCGCTGGTCCCTGGTGAGCCTAGTGCATGTGAGCCTCATGTGGCTTCTCTGCCCATTGCACTGACGCAGGCTTTTGGCTTGGTCTGTAATCCACAGATGACATGGCCTTTGATGTGACCTGGTTTGCGGTACACTCCTTCGGCCTGGACAAGGCTCCCGCCCTCCTGTCCTCTCTGGATCGCAAGGGGATCGTGACCACGGCCGAGAGAGACTGGAAGAGCGAGCTCAGCCTGGAGCGCGTGGGCGTGCTCGAATTCCTGCTGCAAGTCCACAGCTCCGAGGACCAGGACTTCGGCAACTACTACTGCTCCGTGACCCCGTGGGTGAAGTCCCCAACCGGCTCCTGGCAGAAGGAGGCAGAGATCTACTCCAAGCCCATCTTTGTCACCGTGAAGATGGATGGTAAGGATGTGTGGTCATGCCTCCGTGCTGTGCTGCAGCGACCGAGTCAGGTGGCCACCCTTCGAGGAAGGTGCCCCCCACCCCACGGCCTGCTCCCTCTCTCTAGACCTGGCCTGGGCCGTGCGCAGAAGGAGGGCAAACGGGCCTTGCTGCTTCCCCTGCGGCATCGTGTGCTGGAGGCGCCACGGGGAAACGGTGGTTAAGGCTCATTGGAGAATCTTTGATCCTTCTATAAATTCTGTGCAAACCCACTTTACTTGTCACAGGGCTGGCGTGGATTCTGCCAGGCAGAGCCAGACAACAGCATCGAGGCAGCGGACTCAGGGCCCCAGGAGAGGCGCTGAATGGGCTCCTGCTCCTCCTGCCCTACTGGATTTGCTTCTTGGCAGAGGGAGGATCCTACTGGTATCATTAGCATGGAGGGGTGCTTTCCGAAACCTGGAACCGGAAGGGGGCTCCCTGCTTTGTTGGCCCCCACGGACCCCCAGAGTCATTCTAACTAGGTGGCCAGAGGGCCCCCTTCCCACCCATCTGTTCCCCACACATCACAGAGTGGGGGCCGCTGTTCCCCGGCTAATGCGAAGCCTGCCTTCTCTGCACGAAGTTTCCGAGTGCACGCTAATGGAGAAAGCCCCCCGGAGATAATTAGAGCCCCCACGCCCCCAGGGTTAGGGGGAGCCTCCGAGTGTGTTTCCCCGATGACATTGTGGGGAAGACTGGAACTGGAGCCCCAGCTTGTCCAGAGGTGACTTAGCTGTTTCTGTCCTCCGTCCCCTCTGCTCTGCGTGGGCAACGGTCCCTGAGAGGGCGAGCCGCGTTCAGTGTCCAGCGCCAGCCCGCCTGGAGCACGCTGCTGCTTCTGGGAGAAGGGCCTTGGGACTCGGGGGTGTGTGTGTGGTCTGTAGGGTGTGTGTGCATTCCCGAAACTCCGTCATTTACACCCTATTTGCATCTCCGAAACTCCTTGCTTGAAGTAGCTCCGTATGAAAACCCAGATTTCCCGAACAAGCGAGCAATTATTCACTTTCCTGGGTAATTTACTACCGTGCTGCTTAAAATAGCTCCGCGAGCACACTTCGGTTAGTTGATGCATGGAATTGATTTATGAACAGTGTTGTTGTTTTTTTAAGGATGCATCTGCTGCTGCATGCGCGGTGCCCTTATACTGACTTTTAAAAATCAATCTCCTGCCAAAACCCTAAAAAGCAAGTTGATATTCAGAGGCATCACACGGAGTCTTTCTCCTGGTTTTTGGTTTCTCCCCCACAGAACCTGGTAGGGCATCATCTGCCCGCAAAGCGAGCAGAGAAGAGGCCTCCGGCCTCGAGTGCTGTCCTCGGTGCTGGGCACAGCTTGAGTGCGAGGCCGGCCCCTCAGGGAGACCCGCTTGGGTAGAGGGGGATCGGAGGGGAGGTGGCGGGCTTCCCGAGGCCATCTGCTTGCACCACTAACCCAGCACCCCTTTGCTCCCTCCCTGCCAGTACTGAACGCCTTCAAGTACCCGCTGCTGATCGGCGTGGGCCTGTCCACCGTCATCGGGCTCCTGTCCTGCCTCATTGGGTACTGTAGCTCCCACTGGTGCTGTAAGAAGGAGGTCCAGGAGACAAGGCGTGAGCGCCGCCGGCTCATGTCCATGGAGATGGACTAGGCCACGCCGGGGGAGCTGCGCCAGGGGCCGGTCTGGCAGCGACTTGGCCGGGAAGAGGACCGCCATCTTTTAACGCGAAGCGTGTTACCCTAAAAACCAGTCCTCTCTAATCTCAGGTGGGACCTGGCGCTCTGTCTTCTCTGCATGTCACGTTCTGAGCGCAGACATGTTTACCAGCACACGGCCTCTCTTCCCACGGCACTTTCCGGTAGAACAATTGCGTGCGTGTGTTCCCAGCTGCGGCTTTTTAATGGTTACCCATTGTCTAATTTTTTTCCTCCTTCTCCCGGTTTATGGCTCTGACCCGCGTGTGTTCGTGTGTTTGGTTGCGAGGGGATGCGGTGAGCAAGGACGGTGGCTCCCAGAGTTCTTTGTCTGGGGTGAGGACGGAGCTGCCCCGGCCCGGCAACAACACGGATTCGTGCCGCTGTTGCTCTTTGTGGCTTCGACCACCCTACCCACCCCGTGTTTTCAGGGGTTTAGACATTTGAAACCTAAACTTGCAGTATGTAACTTCTTACTGAGCCCAGATGCTTTTCTTTTTCTTTTTCTTCTGTTTTCTCTTTTGCTTCTCTGCCCCGCCCCCCTTCCATTTCTTTTGTATTTGCTTTCTGTGAGCGTGCTGAGATGGCCCTGAAATCTCGAATTCGGCTCTCCACCAAGCACCTTATCTCGCCACCTTAGCCTTAAGAATGAATATGAAGAAAAATACACAGCCACCTCTGTCCAGGGCGGTCAGGAGGTCCTCGAGCAAGAGGAGGTTGGGGACAGGGAAGGAGCAGGCGCTCACTCCAGGGGTTCTGAGGTCGCTGTGCCTCAGGGGGCCCCAGGGAGAGCAGAAAAGGGTCCTGAGGCTCAGTGGTCCCGGGCTTGGGGCTAGGAGGCCGGGGTGCCGGGGCTGTGTCCAGAGGAAGAAGCCGCCTCCATCCCCCTCCTGTGCCCTTAGTGGGAGGCAAAGGTCTTGGCCACCGAGGGGCACCCGCACATACCCCACGTCCTTCGTGGCTGCTTGGGTTCCTTAATGTGAAGGCGTATTGCTGCTTGCAAGACTGACTGACTGACTTCACAGAATCTGAAATTGCCTGGAAGAGCCATGCATTTTCCATGACCTTTTCAGTCCTTCAAGTCTCCGTCAGATTCCCCTGCAGGGGGTTAGCGAGCAAGGGTACGCTCTGCGGCATGTTTACTTCCTGTTAGGAGCACGAAGGAAACCAGCAATTTACTGCCGTGTGCACAGCCTACAAAGTAGATCCGAGAGCGAGCAGTCGTGCCTGATGGCTCGTTCCCGGAGTAGGACACGGACCACAAGAGACCCTCTGCTCCCCAAGGCGTCTGCCCCTGCCTAGCACTGGCCTTCCAGAAGCGTCCCAGTGGGTTTTCTGAGGCTCACTGGTGAGTCGTGCCCTGCATTGAGATCCTGCGCGCTTTTACCCCAGCTCTGACGGACCTCACACTGCTCTGTCTTCCGAAGGGAAAAAATCTTCGTTTGTTTTGAGCAATAAAGTCATACAAAACGATGGCCATTCATGTGCGGCTCTTTGTCACAAGGGGCCAGACGAGCCACACTCCCCCCACCCACCCCCGCCCACCGGCTCACCATCATCCCCTCCACTTCCCGCCCTGTGCTGCCCGTACTCCACTCTTCCTTTGTCACTGAGTCACCCCAAGAGGCAGATTGTCACCCTGCTTCCCTTTGTCCCGCCCACCTAGGGGACCACTCCTGGTAGATGCCATGCTAACGGCAGCAGCACAGATGAGTTCCGAGTCCGGCACCTGCCCCACCAGAGCATGGGTGACCATAGGACGAGGCCTGGATGGCTCTAGATGGGGGTCTTTTCTACCAGTCGTTTCTTAACTCTGAAGCTGTTTCAGAGGAGGTGGGTCCCAGATGACTGTGTATACAGGAACAAAAGAGCGAACACACTCACAGGTGCTGTATTAGTGACAACAGTACCCTTTGAGCCCACACAGTCATCACCTTGAAAAGAAAGTTGAGGATTGTGGTAGTGCAGGCCCTTCTTGGTAGAGGAAAGGACACTTTGCCGTGAGCATGGCCGGGTGGCCCCGGCTATACGTAAAGGCATGGATGGGGCACACCAGATGCGTGGAGGTAGGGAAAGTGCCAGGTGCTCACCCACTATACCTTCTCCTCCCAAACTGCCGCTGTAGCTCGAGGCTGGGGTTGCTAAGCCATTGACCCCAACCCCACCCTGTGATCGTGGGGCCGGCCACACTGCCTGTCGCCCAGGGGCCGGTACGGAGGAGGAAGAAGTCCCAGGGTGTCGTGCTAGGGACTGCACTCCATCCAGAGGCAGAAAGTGGCCTGGAATGTGTGTTCTTTTAAAAGTGTGAGATACACTCTCTTGCTGTACCAAATAGGGCTCCCCCCCAAAGTGCTTTTCTGGAAGGGGGTTCCTGCCAGAAGCGCTGGTGTGAACAGAAGTACAACCTAGCCACAGTTCACACGGATGAAATTGCACTTCTTAACGAAAAACTTTATATACAGTTTGGGTTTGTTTTTTGGTTTTTTTTTTTTTTTTTTTTCCCTGAGCATAAAAATATCTCCCAGAAAGAGCCTAAGCTACATCCCGATAGAAGCCTCGAAATTACTTTCAGTTGTTTACTTTATAATGTTTACATAACATTCTTCACTTTTTTAAAAAAGAAAAGAAATGCAAACTCTGACTTTTTAACAGCGTTTCCGATTTTTCACGGTGGAACTCTGACTCAGCAACTGGATTTAAATATTAATTGAGAAATGTATTTATTTGCGTGTTTCCCTCCCTGCCCACGTGGCTTTCCCCTAAGATCCTGGGAAAGGACCCCCCCCCCCCCAGACCCTTGTCCGCGTCCCCCGGTGGCTCTTGCTTCTTGCTTTGCAAACTGCTGCAGCCATGATGTTGTCCCTGACATCTGTGAGCCAAAGACTGAGCCTTTTGGGCAGGAATACTAAGCAATACTACACAACTTGCTACTTTCAGAAAACTTTTCTTTTTTTAGCTTCACCGATGGCAACAGAGGAAGAAGGGATCGAGGATTTCGGTAAGTTCTTCTCTGCTGTTCGACCAAATTCTCGACAACAGACATTGTGCGCAGATCACTAGGAGGAAACAACAAAAAAGTTGACTTTCTGTCTTTATTAGCGTTGCGCATCAGGGTCTGCCAGATTTCACGTAGACAAAGAAAGGGTCTTGTGTATTTTTGTCCATCTCTGATGTTACATGAACTAATTGTATTGTTTTATACTGTGACCACAGATATTATGCAATGCACCGTTTGTTTTTTCATTAAAGGAAGTTTAATTTAAATTGAAGTCGTGTGAGGCACTTGATCTTGGTCTGGGTAGCCTGTCATCCACTCTGCCTGAGGGAACACGGCCCAATTCTGATCTTGCTGAATCCTGCAGAAGCTTTGTATGTTTTCACTAAAGATAGAAGAAGTGGATTTAACAGGATCAGGGCTGAGAGCCCCACCATGCAGAAAGCCGAGGGCCAGGGTCCTGTGGCCTGGGGAGGTCTCTTCATTCTTTGGTGAATTCTCATGACCTTATGGGTGTCTCGTCACGAAAGGGGGAAGTTGGACATTGTTCCTCTCTGCGGATGAGGAAACAAACACAAGGTTCTGTGGCCGTACCGTTGCCGGAACGCAGCGGCTTTTCTGACTCATGACCCAGTCTGGAGCCAAACTGGTCCAGAAGGTGCCAGGCCCTGTGATGGGAAAACAGTGCCGCTGGCTTCTGGAGCCCCAGCTCCCTGCTGGTCTCCGCCCCTGCCCCCCGCTCCCCTGCAGGTCCCGTTAGTGTCCTGGGCAGGGAGCTGCTGTGACTGTGAGGTCCTCAGGGGCTGGGTCTGCGCCCTGGTGACGAACCTCGCTTGTGGGTGTCGAAGGTCCATGCAGTGTATATATGCACGATTGATGCCCTGCCGTGGGGCGTGGCCATCACTCATGCTTCTCGGTGAACCCGGAGGGTTCTGCCCGCGCCAGGATGTGACATGGTCACAGCTGGGTTTTAGCAGTTCCCTGCCGATTACTGACCCTGTTCCTGGCTCAGTTTAAATTAAAAGCAAGACGAACATTTGCCTGCCGGGCTAACGCATGCTTCTCCTTGGGGGCCCAGGAGCCTTTTCTGCTCCTCCAGGCTGGCTAGGGTTCCTCTGGTAGTCCAAAAGTGCTGTGAGGGCAGGGACCAGCCGTGGCTGTGGCCCTGGGCACCTCGTTATGGCCATAGCAAACACGGGGATTATGACGATGTGCCCCATGCCAGGTTAAGTACCTCAGGTCATCCCTTGGTGCTACGGCAGAAGCTCTCTTAACTGTTCTCTGTGTTACTGAATCTTCCAGAAAAAAAGCCGCTCATTAACCCTGACCCACAGACTGCCGTGCATCGCACCATTTTTGAACATACGGGTTTTGTTATTATTAGGGCGTGCAGAGTGAGAGAGGCCCGGCATTGCGAAGCTAGTTTGTTATATACTCACAAATTCCAAGAGGAGTGGGCGGGCGCACTGTGCCACACTCTGGGCCACACCGCAAAGACCAGGGTCCATCAGGAGGTGGTGGGTGGTGGGTAGGGGGTGGGGCCAGGAGCACAGAGAGCCAGCAGGTCAGGGTCTGCAGGCTTAGGGTTGACCGGTTTGTATAATTCCATTGGGCTCTAGGGTGCAGGGGCTGCCCCTAGTTTTCTGGTTCCTGGTCCTGGGGTGAGGAGGTGGGAGACAGCCGTCCTGAGTGCGGGCGCCGCCGCGAAGGTGGTGGGGATGTGACTCTGGGTCGGTGGCTTTGTGCCTGCAAGGCGTGCTCACCGTCCATCAGTTCCTCTTCCCAGGACCTGGCCAGCTCCCGCAGCGGCGGCGCCAGGGTCAGCGGGGCCCTGGACGTCAGAGTCTCAGGAAACAAGCTAGAAGAACGTGAGCAATACGCTCGCCACTTGAGGCTCGCCGGCTGCGCGGGCATCTGAACTCCACCTGCGGCGGCGGCGTTGACAGCCCTCGCCGTCCTGTTTCCCCTGCGGCCCGTTTCCCCTGCGGCCCGTTTGTGCCACCAGTGCTGCCTGTTGTGATGACATAAATTACCGGTACGTCCACCAGTCAGACGCGAGTGCCAGAGGAAGAGGTTGTGACAAGATGCCTGTGCGTTTTACGGATGGAGACCCTGCTCATACCCAGGATTTGGACGCTTAGGTAAGGACTTGAGTTTGGGAATCATGCCATAAATAAGTTTTCTGCTTTGTGTTTCTCTGGGAGCCTTTAAAAATAGCCACTTAAGGGGCACCTGGGTGGCTCAGTCAGTTAAGCATCTGACTTCAGCTCAGGTCACAATCGCGCAGTTTGTGAGTTCGAGCTCCACATCGGGCTCTGTGCCGACAGCCCAGAGCCTGGAGCCTGCTTTGGATTCTGTGACTCTCTCTGTCTACCCCTCCCCTGCTCATGCTCTGTCTCTTTCTGTCTCTCGAAAATGAATACATGTTAAAAAAAAATTTAAGAAAAGATGCTATCAATAGGTCCAGGCAGAACTGTTCAAGACTGGTGGGAGACAAATTGCAAAAATGTGGAAAAGATTCTGTACTTTGTTGGCTTCACACATGTTTTTTAAATTCTTCATTTGAAAGAAATCATACATTCTTACTTTATTTGAGAGAAAACAAACTTTAAAGTTTGAGAATAGATACGATAGGCTTGGTCTATGCAGAAAAGGGTTAGGAGGCTCCAGACCACAGACCCAGACTCGGGAGGAAAGACTGGGCTGATGTCGAGAGATTGGCGAATTAATGTGTTGGTGGAGGTGAAACTAACAGGTGTGAGATACATAGGAATCTTGTTACAATTCTCAGCTTCCCCTGACATTTTCTGTTAGTTGATCAACAGCTCTAATCATTTCAGATAGAGTTCCTGCTAGGACTGTTCCCATTCTTAGAAGTAAGGAAATTAAGACAAATTAATTTGCACAAATGAACAAGATTTGAATTAAGACCTTTCAGACTCCAGAGGCTGTGTGTTCATGCCCCACCCCCTTATCTGCAGAGGATACACTCCAGGACCCCCCCAGGGGATGCCTGAAGCCCCAGAGAGTACCAAACTGTACACTTAATGGGTGTTTTCCCTATATAAACACACGTATATAGAGTTTAACTTATCAATTTGGCACTGTATGAGGTTAACAGCAATAACTACTAATAAGATAGGACAGCGATAACAATATATGATAACAGTAGGTGAATGCGGTGTGGCATGTTCCCCAGACAGCTGGTTGTTCTGCACTCCCCCTGCCGAGGGTGAGGGGGACAGTACCGTGCCCACGTGATGACATGCACTGAGATGAATCACGCGAGCATTGTGATATAGCGTTAGGCTGCGCTGATCTTGTGACAGTATGACAGACGGAGGATCATCTGCTTCCAAAAGGCCACGGGTGGCTGCAGAACGTAAAGCCGTGGGCAAGGGAGAGATGCCTGTGCGCACTGTCCGTCAGCACGTCAGCCACAGCCCCTGTGGGCTCTAAGCATTGAGTGAGTATTTGCTGACTAGGTAGGTGAGTGAGTGCTGGATCCTAGCACTGTGAAGTTCTGTGGGTCGTGTAGGAGAGGCTGGCACATAAATCGCCAGTTTTACTGCCGTACACAAGTGACAGAATCAAGCCTAGATTTTAAATTGTTTTGAATGAACAGGTATTTTCCCGGGTAGGGAAGGTGCAAGGTTCCAAGTTAGTGTCGGCCCCGTTAAAGACGGGAAAGATGGTAAGACAACGCAGAAAGACACAGTTCTGTGTCTGAGGGCCAGAGAGGTGGCAAGGGCCAGCTCATCAAGGTCAAGTCAGGGAGTTTGGACTTGCTCTTCCAGAAATCCTTGGGGAGCCACTGCAACACTTAGATCTGGAGTCTAGGTTAGTTACCCTGGCAGCGGGCAGCAGGCCGTGCAGGCAAGGCTGGGAGATGAATCAAAGTGCATCAGCCCAGCAGGAAAATCGAGGCCCTCACTTGGGGCAGCAGCAGGTACAGTGGACTCCTAAGAGATATGAGAAAGAGCCGATAGGACTTGAAAGCCAGATGTGGAGTGCGGAGGCCAAAGTGTGGGTCTGGGTGGAGGCAGGCACGTCCAGCCACGATGCACACTCAGCAGTGACTGAGAAAACCCGAGTTGCAGCTTCAGACTCCAGTTTGGGTTTCCTGGAGAACCTGCAAATGGGAATGTTCTCCCCTAGTGGGATGGTGGGGCTGGCACTTAAGGGACAAGGTAGGGTTGGGAGTCTATCTGTGACTGTCAGCATCCAAAAGGGGATGAGACACAGCTGTGTGAATCCCTGGTAGGCAAGTTAAGGACTAGCCCTGACCAAGGGAGTATCTGGAAGTGGCAGATGGCCTAGGAATCCCTTCTGCTGCTCTTTCTCTTCTATTACCATCCCTACTCCCCATCTTCTAGCCCCAAACCCCATCCCCACCCAACACCCTGGCTCTCGCCCCTCCCACAGAAGTCCAGTTCAGCCCTTTCCCCAGACAGGAGTTGCCATGCGCCATGAAAAGCTCTTCAGCCCTGGTTAACTCATTGTCAGCTCCTGCTGGAGCTAGGCAAGTGGGAAGAGACCGGGGTATCATTCTCCATCACGGGGCCAGGTCACAGCTGGGCCCTCTCAAAGCCTGTTTCTTCCTCTGTCCCATGAGGGTGTTGGCTGAGGTCAGCGTGATTCCTTCCAGTGGGGTCACTGCTTGGTGCCCCATGAACATAGGCTCAGTCCACAGGCTTCCTCTGCCCTTGGCAAATCCAGCACCTGTGGAGTGGCCCTCAACCTGACCTAAGCTGGAAGAGCTCAAGCAGGGAAAAGCATGACAGGCTTCCTGCTGCCCCTTGGGGTTTTTCTTTTCCATCCTCCACACACCATTCCTCACACCCTCTGCCCTTCTGGAATCGTGAATGGCAAGCCAGAAGGTACAATAGCAAGAGCACTGTCACCTCACACCTGTCAGAATGGCTAAAATCAAAAACAGAAGAAATAAGCGCTGGTAATGATGTAGAGAAGGAGGAGCCCTTGTGCACTGTCGGTGGGAGTGCAAACTGGTGCAGCCACCATGGAAAACAGTATGGAGGTGCCTCAAAAAGTTAAAAACAGAACTACCCTACTATCCAGCAATCACACTATTGGATATTTACCTAAAGAATACCAAGACACTAATTCAAAAAGATATATGCACCCCTGTGTTTATTGCAGCATTATTTATAATTGCCAAGTTATAGAAGCTACCCAAGTGTCCATCAATAGATGACTGGATAAAGATATATATATAAATATATATGCATACACAATGGAATCATACTCA